TACTTTTTGGTATTTGTATGCATTGAATTAATCTTATTGGACGGCTAGTTATTTATATGTTTTTGAATTGGGTTACGTTAATTTGTAAAAGTTACGAATGAAATGTCATTAGTTGTATTTATGTAGTGTTGTTGTAAATATTTAAAAATTTAATTATGGTACGGAACCGAACCGAACCGACCCGAACCAAACCGAACGAACCCGCACCAGAACGGTTCCATAATTATATTTGGACCCGATGAGTCCATTTATTAAATACCCGAAAATTTTGGATTGTTTCGGGTATTTTCAGAATCGAACTGAACCGACCCACGAACAGCCCTAATTTAAATATTGAAAGAAAAGTAATATATACACAAAATACATGTATAATTGTCCCTTTAAAAAGTTTTCTCCCCCGAACGTTCTAGCTCCACCATTATTACACAAATAGTCAATTGTCAAGTATGTTTCCATTTTCTCAAGATAATGACTAAATTGGAGGAAGCTTGACTAAATTGATATAAAATTATTAATTCAAGGATCAAATTGGCTAGTTTCACTAGTTGCCACTAAAGTTTGTATGAAATTTCTGATTAGCCATTAAAGATTTCTCTGACCTATTGAGTCATTAAATTTTATAACAGTTCACCTAGATAGTAAAATTAACGTATAATCTATCTATAATCATATATGCCTTTTCCATATTTTTTTGACCCATTTAGAAAGACATTTTTCAACTCATAAAGAGTCTGTTTGAGTTCTATTTTTTCTTTTCTTTTGTAAGAATACTCTTCGAAATAGTAGATTGATGGAGAACGAGTGGTTAAAAATGAAGAATTTTTTTAATTGTATGTAATATTATTTTATTGAACAATGTATGATTGAAAAGAAGATAGAGAAAAATGTATTTTAAAAAAAATGATATCAAACAAGGTCTAAATATTTTGTATATTTATTTTTCCACCAATCAATATCCATCGTATTTTGTTAATTAATTTTTTTTTACGTGGGCTTTTAAACTGACACTTGAGACACATTTTTTTGAGAAAAATGTATTTTAGATTAGTAATTTTTTGAAAAATGTGTTATTGAAAACATAAATAAAATTTTGAGTTTAAGTGCAAAATTATTTTACGAGAGAATGTGTGATTAAAATAAATTTTGAAAAAATGATTGAGTCGAGTCAGTAACTTGCCTACTAAGCCAAAGAGTCTGTTTGATTGCAAGAGTGTAATTTGGATGGAAAGAAAATGAATTTCAGGGAATTGAATTGTCTAGAATTGTTTTCCTGTGAATTGTCAATTAATTGTGTTTGATTAGTATAATTTTTCAAGTGAAAAATGTTGAAATTTTGGATCTTTTGATATTCGTTTGAATTTATTTTATATGAAAATTGTTCATTAAAGGGATATAATTTGTTACAATTGAGGACATAATCTGTTTTCATTGTCAAAAAAATTTTTAAAATTTTTTCAAAAAAAAAAAATGAGTTGGCACCGTGTGAGCCAAAACCAAGAAAATGAATTGCCAATAAATTTTTTCCAATCAAACATGCCTTTTGGTGAAAGATGAAATTTCATTTTCAAATTTCATGGAAATGATGCCAAATCAAACGGGCCTAACATGACAAATTATTCGAGTCAATAATTGGAATTGGAGAGGCGGAGGAGGTTGAAGTTCAACGAAGGAAAAGCGGGAGGGCCACATTGATAGTTACAAATGTTACTATAAAAAGGAGTTGCTGGACGAGACACCCATACCTGCCCTGCCAGTTGCCACCAAGAAATTCGCTGTCTCTTAATTTTTTTTTATCTTTCGCCCATAATTTTCCAAAAGCCTCACGAAAAAAATTAAATTAAAAATAGAAATCAAATTCGAAGGCCCAAAAAACACAGAGAAAAGAAACCACGCAACGCTCGATCTGTGATGTGTGAACCACAAGCGAAGAGTCTTCTTTGACGGGTTCGCTGATCAGAAAATGATAATTTCCCTTTCCCTTTGATACATTATCATTTGTTCGACGTATTTGTGTCTAGAATCTTCCGGCCGTAGAAAGGTTCGTCGTATTCTATTTTGAATTTTTTTTTTTTTTGAACTTTTTTCGATCTGGAATGTTCGGATTGTTTCTGTTTTTCAAGTTTTTTTGTTATAGCGGAGAGAGTTGGAGCCGTAAGATGGGAAACAATGTTTGATTTTGATATTGGAGTTTGAAAATGGAATGTGTTTTAATAGTTGTTTCATTTTTGGTGGTTTAATTTGTCAGATCTGCTTTTGTTACTCAATTGAATGCCTGAGTTTTTATTTTCTTTACTTTTTGGGATTTTGTGGTTTACTCTTGAATTATATTTGGTTGAAAATTTGTATTTGTTTGTCCGCGTATAAGCATCGGGAAAATTATTTAAATGTATCGTTTTGATTAAATATTATGTGTTCTTTCTATTTAATTGCTTTTCTCCTCGTCATTTGATATAAGTTTCTTTGCATCCATTTGCTACTGAAAAAAATAATTTTATGTGGGAAAAGCTGCTGTTATGGAATTTCATTATATCAACGAAGATATTCATCTTTTGTATTGCTTATCCTTCCTTGTCTCCTTGATCTCACCTTCATTTCATTGTTACAGGTTCCCCTGTTTTATGCATGTTCAGTCTTCATGTTGACCTTTCTGATATATGAATAGATTAATTTTAAAACACCATGATATTAACTTTTAACGGAAGGAAATGAGTACTGTATGTTTTTTTGCAGAGAGAAAATGACATTTTGGTGATTCTTTGATCAAGTTGAGCCATACCCCTGTGGACTGCAATTTCCAAGAATTTCTTAATTTTACTTCGTCGTTGCATAGACTGATTTGGTAGGTTACAATAAAAATGGTAGCCACTGCTGCAACTTCTGCCTTTCTCCCAATAGCTTCTTCAGCTTCAGATTCCTCGGCAAATACTTCTGGGGCACTCGGAGGAAGCATCCCAACAAGAATCGATGCCTGTGGAACTGGTTTTAAACCAAAGTCCACAGCTTCCCGAAATATACAGGTTAAGGCCAATGCACATGCTCCTCACAAGGTCAATGGGACCAAGGTTGGAGTTATGGATGGCCTTAAGATTGAGGATGAGGTGATGTCATCACCTCCCCCGAGGACATTCATCAACCAATTGCCTGACTGGAGCATGCTCCTTGCTGCCATCACGACAATATTCCTGGCAGCTGAGAAGCAATGGATGATGCTTGATTGGAAACCAAGGCGGCCAGACATGCTTACTGACCCCTTTGGTTTAGGAAGGATTGTGCAAGATGGTTTGATTTTTCGTCAAAACTTCAGCATCAGGTCTTATGAAATAGGAGCTGATCGTACTGCGTCCGTAGAAACTTTGATGAACCATTTGCAGGTATTGTTGGGAAATTAACTATTCTGGTGCCTTTTTGTGCTTTCTAGTTATATATATTTTTGACTGAACCTACTGTAAGTTTATTCTGCTGCTGCTTGACGAGTTAAACTCTTTGCAGGAAACAGCTCTTAACCATGTAAAGACTGCAGGGCTGTTGGGCGATGGCTTTGGTTCAACTCCGGAGATGTGCAAAAGAAATTTAATTTGGGTAGTTACCAAAATGCAGGTTATTGTAGATCGTTATCCTACTTGGTAAGTTTCGTCCTTGCTTAATTTATTCATGATAAACCTATCTCCAAGTGCAGAAAGTATTTCTCCAATCCCAAGCAAAACTAAAAACTAATTTCGTCATTGCTTGGTTAAAAGTCCTAGAATAAATTTTATGTAAGAACTTGGTAAAATTTAATTTTCTTAGATGTTGATTCTTTCTCGCAGGGGTGATGTAGTTCAGGTTGATACTTGGGTAGCTGCATCTGGGAAGAATGGAATGCGCCGAGACTGGCTTATACGTGATAGCAATACTGGTGACATATTAACTAGAGCTTCGAGGTTGGACAATGTTCCATTTATTTCCCGAACTATTTTGTTTACAATGACTAATTGTTCTTTCAATGTAAATAGACCTGCAGTGGCCTGCATTTTTTATCCATGCCCTGGATTGGTCTCTGAGTATAGGGGATCATGTATTTGTTGAAATTAGATTAATTTACTTTCAATGTCCTTAGATGGGTATTAGAGCTATTGTCCTTGGATGTATGAATCTAGTTTAACTGAACTATCTGCTATCTTTTTGTAATTTTTTTTTAATTAACTGCAGTCTATGGGTGATGATGAACAAAGAGACGAGGAGGTTGGCCAAAATTCCAGATGAGGTTCGAGAAGAAATTGGAGGCTATTTTGTGGATTCGCTACCTGTTGTGGATGAGGACGGCAGAAAGCTACCAAAACTGAATGATGACAATGCAGATTACATCCACAATGGTTTAACTGTAAGTAACACACCCTTTCTCAATGGAGAGAACATTACTTTGTTTATATGACGATTATGATCGCACATCACTTCAACTGTCTCACTCTCTTGAAACTGATCTATGAATTCAGCCAAGATGGAGTGATTTGGATGTAAACCAGCACGTAAATAATGTGAAATATGTGGGATGGATTCTTGAGGTAAATATTCTTCTGTTCATTATTTTAATATCTCATAGTTTTCCTTCATTCTGGCAAAAATTTTGGAAGTACCTTTTTTTAATTTATGAATAAGAATATACATTTTAAAAGGATAATTGTGGGATACCCATGCAAGAAATTGATCTGCAGAAACTCTTTTGTTTTACTAAAAATACCGTCTGTTGGGCTTAGCTTCATTCGCAGAAATTTTGAATTTGTCCTCAAACTGTATCAGTGCTTCCTCTTTTTTTTTTTTTTTTTTTTTTTTCCCTCTCTTCTTTTTTACCCTTTTTGTTTTCATAATTGATTTTTGGAAAAAGGCACCTGTAGCCAAATGCTCGAGGGTATGATTTTTCTGTCTGTTTTTTGGCACTTGATTGCTGTTTCTTGGAAATAAGGTTGTCAAGTTCCTTAGAAAACTTGGATAATATACAGGGGTACATAAGTATACTTGTTTGTTTATATCTTTTGCTTAAATCTAAAATAAGCTGATTTGAGATACCTCTTTGGCATGGGAGTCCACCTAGTTTTCAAAATAGCATTACACTTATGGGAATATGATCTAAACTTCTGATTCTTGCTGAAGTTCTTAGGCCTATATTCTCTGATTCGGTATTCAATTTTGGGGAAATGGCATCAGGCTAGATGGGTTATTATATGGGTAACTAATGGACAAGGATTTGGGGCTTAAAAGGTTTTTGGATGAGAAGATTACCTGTTATTTGTGAACTCCTCAAGAATCTGAAGATAAACAATTGGCATAATATAATAAAAAAGTATGTAGACCATGGATGACACCATTTCTAGCCAGAGCTAAATACTCTTGACCACAGGACATTATCGTCTGGGCCCTCTTGATAACTGGCATTGACTGCTACTTAATTTCTTGATGTAAATGATTGGCTGAGAAAAAAAGTTGGCCTAATTTTTATTTCTCCTTGTGGCTTCTGCGAAGACTTGTTTCAAGGTAATTTGAATCTTACTGTGAGTTACTTTGGTTGCAGAGTGTTCCATTACCTATCTTGGAGACTTATGAACTTGCTGGCATGACTCTTGAGTATAGGAGGGAATGTAGGAGGGACAGTTTGCTGCAATCCCTCACTTCTGTGGTGAGCAATAGTGTTGGGGACTTGGCAAATTCTGGTTATGTTGAGTGCCAGCATTTGCTTCGACTGGAGGGTGGTGCTGAAATTGTCAAGGGGAGGACTGAGTGGAGACCCAAATATGGTAATAGGTTGGAGAGCTGGGGTGAGCTCCACGCTGGAAGTGCTTAAGCCTTTGTCTGCTCAGCTGGAGTGGAACTAGTCTCGTTGCTGTTCGCATAGAGTACACCCATGCTCTTTCTGTTCTGTGATTTTCCCCTATATAAGTCCAAGTTTAGTCCATGATATTTATTTTATTTTTTCACTTGTCGGTTTTGCTTCCCCTGGGAGGTATATAGAATCAGTATTGTCATTTGTAAGTACTCCGAGCTTCTCTCGCTCTCTCTCTCTCATTAGCTGGACCAAACTCAAGAATGGGTCATCTAATGCTCAAATTCTATTGGGACGACCCGTCGTTATTTGTAATGGGAGAAGTTTCACATGGGCAAATGGTCCAATTTCATTTCTGCTTCCCAGTTTTGTTTCTTATGTAATTTGTTTATGTTGAATACAAAGTGAAGTTTGCATGTAAAATCTGATAAGTTATGCTTGGCTGAAAATCATTGGGTAATGGACACCAGTGGCCTATTTGCCATAAATAATGAGGTCACAATATTTACGAGCTTTTTTTCAACAAATTAACTTGTGAGCTGACCCATGATGTTCTCGTACACTTGATCTGCCCACGTTCTAAATACCGTTTCACCTTGACAGCATCATTGATAGGCTCGAAAGCTCTAATGTTGGTCTATTGCTCGTTAAACAATCTTTCTTTATAGTCATAACTTCCGAGATTGAAAAGTTGGTAAAATTTCTAATATTACTTACTTTTGGTGTGTCTCAATCTTATATTCATTCACATTTTTAATAAAAACCCGACTTATTGCTCAAGATTTTTCTAATTATTTCCACAACTTTAAGTTACCATGATTCTCTAGCCATGGAGTTTTGGGTTTATGCATAATATTATTTTATGGAAGAATGTATCGTTGAAAATGAGTCGTCAAAAATGGAATTTAAAAATAATGGAGCTCAAACATGGGATAAAATGTACTCTTTTAACAATTAATCCACTTGTACAGAACTATTTCATCTGTAAAAATGTCAGAATACTCACAGGGGGTGGGCCCCATGTGAATAAAATATTATTATAAAAAATGGAGCCCACCCCCATGTGTGTGTTCTGTTATTTTTACAGAATTTTTTTTTTTCGTGTAACAGTAGCATTGTTCTTTTAAGTTATGAAACGTTAAAATTCTTAATTAATTTAGATTATTTTATTAGATAAAGGTCCATATATAATAAAATACAACTTTTTCTGATTAAATTAATATTTCAGAGTGGATAATCCTTAAATTTCTAGCTGATTAAATGGGAAGTTTTTCTTCATTATTCAGTTGGAACTACTTCGAAATATTTAATGTTCTGAACGAGGCAATGCAATTAGGCCCCGTTCGGGAAGGATTAAAAGCCAATTAAAATTGAAAATATGGTCGTTATTGGGTCTCAGACTTATAATAAAAGTCAACAATAACGGCTATATTTTCAATTTTAATCCGATTTTAATCCCTCCCATACAAGGCCTTAATAAGATTCGACCCAAAATCTTCATTAATCATATCTGCACCGTCAATTCAGCCCCTGTTTGTCATCCATTATTTAATAAATAATGAGGTCACAATATTTAAGAGCCTTTTTTCAACAAATTAACTTGTGAGCTGACCCATGATGTTCTCGTACACTTGATCTGCCCACGTTCTAAATACCGTTTCACCTTGCCAGCATCATCGATAGGCTAGAAAGCTCTAACGTCGGTCTATTTCTCGTTAAACAATCTTTCTTTATAGTCATAACTTTCGAGATTGAAAAGTTGGTAAAATTTCTAATATTATTTACTTTTGGTGTGTATCAATCTTATTTTCATTCACATTTTTAATAAAAATGCGACTTTATTGCTCAAGATTTTTCTAATTATTTCCCCAACGTTGAGTTACAACCATTCTTTAGAGAGTTGCTAAAATTAGAACTATTGGAGAATCAGAATTCGATATTGTGAGAGAACGTATTTTGGAATAGTAATTTTTTTTTTTTTTTTGAAATGATAAGAAAAGTTTTGGGTTTATGCATAATATTATTTTGTGGAAGAATGTATTGTTGAAAATGAGTTTCATAAAAAAATGTATTCTTTTAAATTATGAAACGTTAAAGTTCTTAATTAATTTAGATTATTTTATTATATGGAGGTCCATATATAATAAAATACAACTTTTTCTGATTAAATTAATATTTCAGAGTGGATAATCCTTAAATTTCTGGCTAATTAAATGGGTAGTTTTGCTTCATTATTCAATTGGAACTACTTCGAAATATTTAATGTTCTGAACGAGGCAATGCTATTAATAAGATTCGACCCAAAATCTTCATTAATCATAGCTGCACCGTCAATTCAGTATACTCGTATTTAATTTTACGTGCCACACACGTTACTCTTTTATGTTATACGCATAGATCCAAAGTCTAAAGTAGAAAGGTCTAAATTTGTAGCTCATCCATTTGTGACCTAACTTCACAAAATAGAACCACAAAAGTTACAAGTTTTAATTGAGCTGTCAACTATTAACTATATATATTTACTTATATCACATGATCTTATCTGTTTATATCACACTGTCGTTATCGATTTGGATCGAATTAACACAACGGTGAACCGACCTACCAATTCTCATGAAAAATATAGGTTAAGAAATCATAGGACCAAGAATTTGACAAGGTTAATCCTTAATCTTGTTTGTTGGTTACCAAACATATTGTATTTACATTTGGACTATGACTTCTTCTATGTTCGATTCTTAAAAAATAAATATTGAGAGACTGAGAATGTCTTCATTTGTGTGCATTTTGGTCGACATAATTTGTGTATGCCAAGCAGTGGCAGATCCAGGAATTTAGGTGACTACGGATGAATTCAAGTAAGCACGGGTTGCTATCCAAAGGAAAAATAAAACTCGGTGGAGCCAACTCGAGCAGCCGTTGGGGCTCACCAAGTGCTAGCTCCGCCCCTGACGTCAAGACTACAAGAAAGTATGTCTATTCGAATAATGATGAGGATTGAGAGATTTTCATTTTATTTCAAAGTTTGGTATGCTCAATCTCATCTCATCTCATTAATAAATAATTTCGGTTGATTGTTGACTGATAAATGTCACACTTATGTGGGGAAGATTAATTTGGCTTTTGTTTCCAACTGTTTTTGTTTAAACCACCACTTCATTTAATGCTTATTACATCATTTCACACGTCATTAGTGGACAAGTTTATTTTTCATTACCAGAAATATTGGAAAAAAGCTTACTTATTTAGTATCTATTCATATTTAGTTTAGGCCACATTTTCGAAAATCTCACATGAATTAAAGATGAATATATTAAGAATTTGTTTGGGAGGGATTTTTGGGAGAAAAATTGATTTTGAATAGTGATATGATGGGAAATGTGTGGTTGAAAAAAAAAATTATTGATGTGATGAAAAATATTATTTTATTGAAGAATGTGTGGTTAAAAATGAGAATTGATTTACTGTAGAATTTTGAGAATCCCTCCCAAACATGACCTANTGATTTACTATAGAAAAATCAAAATTTCTCCCAAACAGGCCATAACTAAGATACAATGACTTGAAATATTCTTGTTATCCAAATTGACGTCTTAGTTATTTAGTTCTTTTTTTTTTTTTTTATGTAAAATCATTACATTTCTTGTCACGTAATTTGTATATTACAAGGAATATTCTTGTGTGTCGACTGGACACTTCTTTGACGCTTATTATTTAAGAGTAATTATACTTAGAATTACAAGTGCTAAGTATCAGTTTAGAAGATAAGCAAGTGTCATTAATTGATAGATCGTCGTAAAAAAATAGTCATATTCAAAATATTCGACTGCTTGCATACCAGCTAAATTGGTATTACATCGTTATTCAGTATTTAATCCACAGATTTATTTCAAACAAAATTATTATACCAACTAACTAGATTTTGACTTTGTATCAAACTAATAAGTACAGTATTATCTTTATAAATTTATATGTTTAAGACCATTATGTTGTTAATTTATTGGTAAATTAATTTATAAATTAACGAACTAAAGATTAATTATATTCTAACAATCTCATCAAGTAGGCAGTGGCGGATTTACCATGGGCAGTGGCCCACAATAAATTACGAATATGTTATTTCGCCCAAAGATTTAAAAAAAAAACCCTCTTAATTTTAAAATTTTGCCCCTAATTAAAATTTTATGAAATTTTTCAATGATTATTTTCTACTAACTCCGCCCCTGCAAGTAGGGACCATAAAATTTTATTAATTGCATTTATCTCCTTATTAATTCATCCCATTGGCTGGGACCATAAAATTTTATTATGTAACACAACTTATTATGGAATATTAAATTGTAGACGTTATACTGTATTATGTAAAATCGCATGATAAAAGGAGAGATTATTGGTACATTATTTGTCGGATACACCCACCGTGTATCTATCTACGTACCATTGAACTTTTTCGAACCCACATAAAAAATAAGTGTTTGGATGGTGGTGGTGGACATAAATTGGAATAATGCTATTTACACTGGCGGAGCCAGGGGATGGAGTTGATGTCCGTCTCGTAACATTTTGAAATCTTCTTTAATATAAGTAGAAATTTTAATTTTGTAGTAATATATAAATAAATAAACGTATATTTTACTCATTCAATATTTTTCGTCGCCCCTCCTCCTCCAAATGTGAAAATTCTAGCACTATCATTGACATTTATCACCATCAACGTTCATCATCAATTTATTTGACAGTTAAATTATTTTCACATTATTTAATGAAGTTGTAATGCATTTTTGTTCACTCTACAATCTTACGATGACCCAACTGTAACATAAATCGGTAATGAAAACCAATTGTGATAAATAATATCATTATTTTGTTTAGGGCATGTTCGGTACAGCTTAAAATTCAATTAAAATTGAAAATATGGCCGTTATTGGTCTCACCCGTCTAATAAAAGTCAACAATAACTACTAATTTTTCAATTTTAATCCAATTTTAATCTCTACCGAACAAGCCCTTAATTTTGAAGT